AATTTATTGTATTATTCAAGAGTCTTGAGAGCATATTATTGCCTCCATAATGCTCTATCCAACAAGTTGATCATTTTAAAAACTAATATTATTGCACATATGATAATAAAACCATTTGTTTAAGTTGATGATTATATACTATACATTAATCCTTTTTTGGTTAGCTTTCTTAACAAAAATATAAATACGGTGAGCAAGTCTCTCCATAACATGAAAAGCAAGTCTCCATTTTATGGAGACTTCACATCTCCATATTGTGGAGAGATTTCTCATAATATGGAGAGATCCCTTAGATGATTTTTTTTTATTTATTTAAAGGATATTTTCTAGCTTCTTTTTTTTTTTTTTACATATAATTTAACATTTACCTTAAAAAATTAAATATATTTAAATATTGACCTAAAATTTCCAGTTAATATTTTTTAACTTATAAGTTATTCTTTTACTTTTAAATAACTTTAGGCGATTTTTTGACAATTGACCAACTTTTTACATTTTAGAAATATCATAACCCACATATAAAAAATTACTTATAAATAAAGAATCACTTTTATGTAAAAAAAAAAAAAGAATCACTTTTATGTAAAATTATTATTACTAATAAAATTATGTATTTATATTTTTTTCTTTTATTTGAATTTGTTTATTAGTAATGTTTTATTTGTCGATCATTTTTTACTATCACTATTTTATTTCCAACAATCACTTTTATGTAAGAAATTATAAAAAAATAAAAATACTAATAATAAGACAAAAAGTATTTGTAAAATGTAAGAAGTTACTTATAAGTAAGAAATTCACTTAAAGTTATTTAAAAGGAAAAAATAACTTACAATTGTAAAGCGACAATAATTTTATTAGGAATTTTTATGTCCAAAAAAAAATGTACGTTATACCAGATAATTTTTTTAACAAAATGATGTAAATTATATTGAGAAAATTGTCGCGAAAAAATATTAAATATTAATAAAATAATTGATTTTTTTAAAGGAAAAAACGAGTTATACGCATTTTTAACACACACGTTTGATACACATTTAATTATTTTTGATATTCATTTAGATCATTCGATATGTCTATGATATTGTTCTTGAAATGAGCTTCGAAAGAATATAGAAGATTTATGGATTTGACTAACATACAATAATTGATAAATTTTTAAAGTTAGCTTGTTATCGAAATTTTCAAAGTAGTAGTTTGAAAATGCCTACTTTGACGCCCCGTAACATTTGCTACGATTGGCCGTTTCGCGGACCGTTAACGATGTGCAATACTATGCCGTGAGTACTTCAAAATAATATTAAGAATGTTTATGTATATTATTATTTTATGAAAGATTGTGTGGTTGAAAATATGAGAGAGAGAAATATAATGTAATGGATGGGGGGGGGGGGGGGTTCTTGACTCTTTTTCTATACAATTTTATTTAAGTCTGTGTGCGTTTTTACTTGTATATATGTTACAATTTTATTATTGATATCATAAAACCTTTTATTTATTTTTATTTCGTATAAAATAACTATTCTTTCCTTTCTTTTATATCAAACACTTAAGATAAACGACGTCGTTTTTTGCTCTTGAGGTAAAAAAGAAAAAGAAAAAAAGCGCGCTACAGTGTGTCCCCTTAAGGATTGCCCTTTTTATATGGTAGTGATAGTGAAAAATATGGATTTATTTTCTATTTAAAAGTCATTTAGTGTTCGTAATTTCAATCATTTTTATGTAAGAAATTATTAAAAAATAAAAATACAAATAATAAGACAAAAAATATTTGTAAAATGTAAGAAGTTACTTATAAATAAAAAATTCACTTAAAGTTATTTAAAAGGAGAAAATAACTTTGTGCCCAAACAAGGGATAAATCAAGATTCTATTTTAAAAAAAATTGTTACTCTTTGTGCCCTTTTTATATAGTAGAGATAGTTACTTTACAATTATAAGTTATTTTTTTTACTTTAAATAACTTTAAGTGAATTTTTTACTTATAAGTAACTTCTTACATTTTACAAATATTTTTTATCTGTATTTTTATTTTTTAATAATTTCTTACATAAAAGTGATTGTTGAAAACAAAATAGTGATAGCAAAAAATATCAACAAATAAAAACATTACTAATAAACAAATTCAAAAAAAAAAATTAGTCTCCATGCTTGGAAGTCTCAATCCTCCATAATACGGAGGCTTGATCTCTCCATAAGTTTCCATAATAAATATGGAAAGATTCCTTTGATATATATATTTTTTATTTAAATGATATTTTATTTATAGATCATTTATTTAACATATAAGTTAATATTTAATTTTAAAAATTAAATATATTTAAATATTTACTCCAAATTTTTAAGTTGATATATTTTTAAGTTACAAGTAACTTTTACAATTATAAGTTTTTTTTTTTTTTTTTACTTTTAAATAACTTTAAGCGATTTTTTTTTTTTTTAACATATAAGCAACTTTTTCATTTTAGAAAGATTTTTTGTCTTATTATTAGTATTTTTATTTTATAATAATTTTTTACACAGAAGTGATTTTTTTTTACTTATAAGTAGTAATTTTACAATTATAAGTTATTTTTTTGCTTTTAAATAAGTTGAAGTCACTTTTTACAACCTACAAATATTTGTTGTCTTATTTGCATTTTTATTTTTTTTAATAATTTCTTACATAAAAGTGATTTTTTACTTATAAGTAATTTTTAATTATAATATAATTTTTCTTACCCACATGTAATATTTTACCTATAAGTAAGATAGTTGAGAGATGAGAGTTGGTAGGACGTATGGAAAGTTGTGTTGCAATTTATAATTGTAAAGTAACTACTTATGAGTAAAAAAATAACTTTTATGTAAAAAATTTATTATAAAATAAAAATACTAATAATAAGACAAAAAATATTTCTTAAATGTCGAAATTGCTTATAAGTAAAAAAATTCGCTTAAAGTTATTTAAAAGTAAAGAAATAACTTATAATTGTAAAAGTTACTTATAACTTCAAGAATGAGCCACGGTTTGTGCAATAATATAAGCAAATGATTTGATCTGAAAAAGTATGGCCATAGCGTATGAAAGTGGAAAGAGAACGTGTGTCAGATTCAAAGTATGTAGGAAGAATCCAACCAAATATTGCCTCCTCCGTATCGTAATAAACAAAAATATATATCAAACAAACGACGTCGTTTGCTCCCACAAAAAACAAAAAAGCAAAAAATAAAAAATAAAATAAAATGGAAGAATCTACTGTTCTTTATACAGTGGCTCAAAATTGCCTTTTTTTATGTAGTAGTGATATATACAGATTGAATTCTCAAGGATATATATATATATATATATTTGAATTCTCTCCTAAGCTCCTTGGGCTTGGTTGACTATGATGTATTTTTATAGTAAATGACATTTTTTATTGTCGTTTAACTAACGAAAAATTACATCAATCCCTATTTTTTAACTTTGAATTTTGAAAATAATGTAATCGAAAATCAAGTGTTCCCCTCCCCCCTCTCAACCAAGTCCTCGCCACTGGAACAATATAATCAAAGAAGGATAAAATGAAGACAATCATATTGAGCTCTATAGTTGCTTCATCATAGTCTTATGTATTGCAAAGGGGTTCTTTGTCGGAGTAAGTATTAGAGCGAACAGTCACTATTCTAGGAGTCGTCAAGGCGGATTGGCTAGCTCGTCTCTGCTCATGAATTTGAACCCAATTGTCTATAAGTTGGCCCTAGCTTGCATCAGCTACATTAAAACCAAATTTGATGTCTCTACCAATAAATGCAAATAATTATCCACACATTTTTTTAATTTTTTAACTCGTTACTCTTTAGTGGTTTTTGCATTAGTTTGATTTGTGTTTTTTTTGGGTGGTGGTGGGGGCGATAATAGAGTGGAGTGAGATGAAGATTGGTTGTGGTCAATTAATTGGATAATTTATGATTAATGAATTAAATCCACCAATGTCCCACTCAATTTGATTTTGTTTCATCATGACCACCAAACTCTATTCTTAATGCCACTATGACCACTCAATTTAATGTTAATTCACTATGGCACCAAATTTATATAATATTTCACTATGACCACTCAATTTCCTTTCACTATTTTCTTTTTAAAAGGGATAAAATTGTAACTTTGCATTATATAAAAAAACAAAAATAAATTTATTTTATTTTATTTTATTTTTCTAAGTAACATTTTTTTAAAATAAGTTTTATTTTATTTCATTTTTTAAGCAACGTTTTTTAAATAAGTTTTTATTTTTTATGTTATTTTTCTAAGCAACGTTTTTTTTTTTAAAAATAAGTTTTTATTTATTTTTTATTTTAAAAAAGATTATCTTATATATCTAATGCAAAGTTACAGTTTTACACATTTTAAAATTAGTGAAAATGGTAAAAACAAGTTGAGTGATCATGATGAAACGTTATATGAAATTGGATGACCATGATGAAATAAAATAAAATTCAATGGCCATGATTACACTAATTATAAAGTTGAGTGACTATGGTTAAATAAAATCAAATTGAGTTGCCACGATGACACTAAATATAAAGTTTGGTGGCCATTGGTGTATTTTAATCCGTGATTAAGGAAAAAAAAAAAAAAAGAGAAGATAAGAAAATTCAATAGATTTAAACTTCTTTTTTGGTAAATAATTTGTTATTTATGAAATGCGTAATTTGTAACTGAAATGAATAATTGTGACCCACAATTTATGTTATTGTAATTGACATTGCGTGATTTGTTATTATTATGTGATCATAGGGTCACAAATTGTGTTATTGTGATGTAGCCTTGTATAATTTGTGATTAATATGTGATCGTGAAGGTAAATTATGTGTTATTGTATCTGATATATTTAATTAAATTTTAAATCATAATATTTGATCAGACATCACAAAATATGATATCCTAATTTCTTAAAATTTTAACAAATTATTATTTTTAGAAATATATATATATTTTCCCCTTAAACTAATGGCATTGTCATCGATTTCACGCTTTTCCCTTTTGTTGGCCTCTCTCCTGCACCATGTGCGATGCTCCTCATTCAATTGAACTGCTACTATAGTGAATTTTCCATGTTTTAATGCGTCTGCTTTCTCATTTTTCTTTTGATCATTAGTGATGAGTATGAAGTGGTATGATCATTGATTTGTTAAAGGCAAGCGTGGTGTTAGATAACTCCAATTTTTCTAACACTCCACCCAGAAATGGATTCCACTCTTCACTCCAACAGAACCAATAGGTGGAGAAAGAGACCCCCAAATTGCAAAACCCCTTTCCTCACATTCTTCACAATCCTATTTTGTGTAGTTTTCTTCATCTCCTCCAAATCCCTATTTTCCCCTTCAATCCTCCAAATCTCCTCAAATTCCCAATCCGATCTCCCCTTACAATGCACCATCACAAGCACCATTGGTTCACCGGAAAAGTTCCTCTGGTACGCACCACACAGCGGATTCAGCAACCAGCTCTCTGAGTTCAAGAACTCAATTCTAATGGCTGCGATTTTGAATCGAACGTTAATTGTTCCTCCTGTACTGGATCACCATGCTGTTGCTCTAGGGAGTTGCCCCAAATTCCGGGTTTTGAATGCTAATGACTTGAGATTCAAAGTCTGGACTCACAGTATTGAGCTCATCAGCAAACGCAGGCAAGTTGTAAAATTTAATTAGTATATACGAACTTTATATGTGTTACAGTAATAGATTCGTGGTTATTTACTCACTCCACCTCGGTTATTGCTGTCTTTCGATTTTGATTTCTTGGGAAAATGTTGGCAATGTGTTCAATACTTGTACATTTATCTGTCATTTTCTTTTAAAAACGATTTGTTTTTTAGTAAATTTATCTACAATGTTTGTACTCAAAATATTTGGCGATTTTGGGTGCTAATTCTTAATTTTGATCTCAAAATATACAGACCAATGGTACCCAACAATATGCTTGGGTTTTAAGAAAAATGACATGTATTCAGTGGGAGATATATAAACATGATGTATTTGGTCGATAACAATTTGATGCGGTGTCATTGTGGAAGTGTTCAATGTCAAACATTTCTTGAGAAAAACTATCGGAAATTAATTGAGTGACAAACATATTGAAACAAATGAACTTCAGCAACTAACGTCAAATTTCATCGTAAGTTGAGTACCTAACAGTGTTTTTACCCTGATTTTAGGTGTTAAACTTTCTTTCTCATTCCTCGTTTATGATTGAGTTTAAATACCTTAAAAACAGTCACTCTTTAGGATAACATGACCCTTAAGTATAATTTTATGATCATCTGTATTCCTGGGATGACTGATGACTAAAAAGAACTATAAAACCATATGATTTTACTTGACCCAAACCCTTTAAGATCTAAATTACTTGCCCAAAATTGTACAATTTAAAGTTTATCCCTCTTCCATAATATTAACTAGATCTATGTAAAAAATGAGCAATCTATACCAAGCCAAGGGGCCTCATCTTGGACGTGTCTCGGAAACTCATTAATGAATACAGAAAAATGGTAAGGACTCAGAGTTGAACTGTGATGCAAGAATATGACTATAAAAATTCTATATTAGCATCCCCACTAAGCCTCTGTTGTGGCTCCGTTAAAAATAGACTTTGGAGGAAAATGTGTTTCGGAATAGTTACTTTTGGAGAATGTGTGGTTAAAAAATTAGGAAAAGTTTTGGTTTACGTATAATATTATTTTATTGAATAATGTGTAGTTGAAAATAAGAAAAAGAAAAATGCATTTTTTCAAAAATGGAGTCCAAAAAAGGGCTAAATCCACCCTGTTGAATCCTACATTGCTCATATATGATATCTTAAATAATTGGCACATCTAACATATTATTTTATCCCTCTTAACACTCACGAGAGGTAGCCCTATCATATGTTATATAAATAAATAGAAGTGCAAGGGATTTTTGTTGTTCTTTATATTTCATTGTGATGTGGGTTACTGACTTCCATCATAGATCTGCCTAGCACAAAGTCAAACTGGTTTTGCGAGACCTTGCAATGGGGCACTATAGGACAGTGAAAATCATCATCCGCGTCAACATGTTAATAGAGTTGCCCCCTCAATTAACTCTTACGGTTTGTGAAATGCCCAACCCATTATCTTGTGGTAGACTTTTTGTTTTTTCTCCATGTCAGTGCCTGCGTGGGTTCCTTAACAAATGGTGCAGATCATCAGTAATTGTAGTTAAAGTGTCTTTCATGATTTTGAATATAGTTTCTACGTCATTAGTAGCTGTAGTTAAAAGTGTTCGACTGTTTAGAAATCAATTTGTAGGTCATCAGTAAGTGTAATTAAAGTGTATTTTACTGGTTGTGATGGTTTCAAAATTTTTCTTGAAGGGTGGAATTAGATTCTTTGTGTTCAACAAATTTTGTAGTTAGATAATGATAACATGGAAGACTGGATGTAAGGGCATAATATGGAAGGAGTCTATTCTATTTCTATGAATGCAAATTATTTTGACCAATTTTGTGTTCTGTATCACTCATGCACCAAGTTACCAAGTAGGAACAAAAAATTGATGTCAATAATTATGTAGTGATTTTCAAGAAAAATATCAGAAGGGGTAAGGAAGAAAATATGCAAAATAAAGGGAAGGCTCTAATCATTACAGAGAAAATAATAGTTAGTAAAGAACAATAGCAGAATGTCAATACTTTTAATGATTTTGACCTCTCTTTTCATTTTGGTCCTGCCTGTTTGGATTAAAGAGAAAGGAAACAAAATTAAGAAAAGAAGCCAAGAATCCTTGCAATTTCTTCTCTTTGAAAACTACCCAACTAAATGAAAAACACAATGTAAGGCAAAAAGGGGAAAAATTATCTTAACTAGTTGTAATAGTTCGAAAACTGTGAACAATACGAGTGAATCTTTTTTCTGATTCTATAGTCAGTACCATGAAAGGTAATTATTTATTTTTGCTGATGAACAGTGACATGAATTGTGACTTTCTTCGAGAGGAATTAGGTCAAGAGTGAGAATAAGCTCTGATACCGACCAATGTAAAACAATAAAGAGGAGAAAGAAAGAGACTGAAAAAGAGAAGAAGAATTCGGAATTAGGGACTCTGAATATTCGGGTTTTTGATAAGGCTCTTTTCATCAATGTCTGGTCTTATCTTTCTCTCTATCCATAATAACTTAGTCCCAGCCTTCCTGGTGCTAAAGCCCTTTGTTTGCCCCCTCTTCTTAATAGAAACAGAACTCTGAAGCGCTTGCTTGGTTCAATTAAGCCATAAGTGAATAAAGAATCTTTTTGCGTAGGTGTATATAATCTCTCTAGTTCGAAAAAGGGAGATTTTGTGCATGTACAATAGGCTTGAAAAAACCAAAGTGTTGCTTCATAAATGTGGCAGCAAGGGCCAGGGAGCTCGAACCTGGTAGAATATGGCTTCTCAACAGGGTCCAATTTATCAAGACACCAGAAGGCTGAGACTATTCTATGAGTAATATCAATAAAATTGTAGAAAGTCTTGATTGGAGCTGCTAGACAAACTACCTCATTCTTAATTTCCATACTTGTCTTGTTTGCCAACCAATATTAAAGCCTACAAGTCTTTGTATAAGCTTTGAGGTGAAAAATACCTGAGGCTGAGGGGGGCCCTATTGCCGAATTGTAGAACCATGGGCTGAAGCAAATCGGAACTAGACAATGGAAAGGGAATGTAAAACTTTTTTGTAAGAGAAATTTCATTGTCAATGAATATCTGCACAATCTAATAATATTAGTACTATTTATTCTGAATCCCTGACAAGAATGGAAAGTTACTATAATAAGAAATTGAAAATTTTCCTTAACTGGGGAACTTACGAGAAATAAATCAACGATCTATATTTACTCCTGGAATAAGTGTATTTTTTGCATGCGACCTCTGTTGTTAAGAAACTATTTTTGTCACTGAGAGGGTATCTAAAGTAGTCTCCATCACTTCCACACTAAGATTTTTATACCTGAAATAAGTGTTATTTGATCTTCATCCTTTTGATAGATGTCCTCACTTTGTGAAAGGGATCCTTCTAGTGTAGTTAACTTTTATCCTCTACAGAGTTTGTTATGTCTCAATATCCAAATTTGTTTTTGAGTAGATAATTGGTCGAAATAATTTCACAATATTTTTGTCGTTTCATCATCGTTTGCTTTTCGAGATATTTGTTGAACAACTTTCTTCCCATCTTTGGTTCCAAGATATGGTGCAACTTTGAGTACACTCTTGTTTGAAACTCAAGAATCGCCCTCTTTCTTTTTAGCTGACTTCGGCATTTTCATAGTTTGGTAAATTTCTACAGGAATTCTCTTTTAGTTCAACCAGCATTTGAAACCTTCTTGTTCTACCACCATTCCCAGTGGCTAAGTTATCATTATTCCATCCAATCGATTTGCTGTTTGCATTCTCATTGTTGGATAGAAAGGGGGGAAAATGCATCCTTATTAATATTTACGCAAACAAATAAACTTATTTCACATTGTTCTTTGTAATTGCTATACAAGTACTTTATGTTAATATTCTGAGTTTTGCTATACTTGTGGTTGCAGGTACACATCCATGGCAGATATAATTGATCTTTCATCTCTGACGACCATTGCGCATGTCAGGTTTATAGATTTCAGAGTTTTCGTATCCATGTGGTGTGAGGTGAATATCAACTTGATTTGCTCTGAGGACTTAAGTAAGCACTCTTCTTTACTTGAAAGCCTGAGACAATGTGGATCGTTCCTCTCTGGGTTGAATGGAAATGTGAAGAATTGTTTATACGCTTCAGAGGAAGATTGTAGAATGACGGTGTGGACATACCAAAAAGATGGTGAACATGGGATTTTGGATTCATTTCAACCTGATGATGAACTCAAGAAGAAGAAGAGAATTACATTTGTGAGGAAAAGGAGAGATGTCCAGAAGACCTTTGGTCCTGGCTCTGAAGCTGGATCAGCCAGTGTTTTGGCATTTGGGAGCCTTTTTACTGCTCCTTATAAGGGCTCGGAGTCACATATCGACATCCATGAAGCTCCAAGGGACCAAAGAATACAGTCCTTGATTCAGAAAATTGAATTTCTTCCTTTTGTTCCAGAAATAATAAATTCTGGGAAGAAGTTTGCTCGCCAGACAATTAAGGCTCCTTTTCTTTGTGCACAGCTTAGATTATTGGATGGTCAATTCAAGAACCATTGGAGAGATACGTTCCGGGCATTGAAAGAAAAACTGGATTCTTTAAAACAGAAGGGTCCTCTCCCAATTCATGTATTTGTAATGACAGACCTTCCCATGAGCAATTGGACTGGAAGCTACTTGGGGGATCTGGCAAAAGATTCGGATACTTTTAAGTTATTTATCCTTAGAGCGGCAGACAAGATTGTAACAGAAACTGCTGAGAAACTTGTGAGTACAAGACATAATGCAAAATTTGAGTCTGCTGTCAATAGTCTTGACAGGGGAGAGAAGCATTGTAATCCTCAATCATTGCCCGATATACTTCTATTTATGGAAGAAACTGTTTGCAGCTGTGCTCATCTAGGTTTCGTTGGGACTGCTGGCTCAACCATAGCTGAAAGCATAAAATTGATGAGGAAAGATAGCGTATGTTTGCCATGAAATTTCGAAAAATTCTCGTGCAACAATTTTTGTCTGCTGATATGGACTTCATTGTTTCACCTCCAAGAATGTGATCGTTGTTGCAGTGCACTTGTATCATTCATACTTGCCGAGTTAGAAGTAAATTTAAGTGCAAGTCAAAAATCTCGGTATCAGAATTTTGTTGGCCTGTTTTGTTTGAGCATACTTAACTCACTCAGCAAGGAGCTAAAAAAAGAGTGTATATTTTATTAATAGCGGGTTAGAGTATTTCCAAGAAACTTTTAAAGGATGGATGCCTTTTATTTTAAATAGTTAAATTTTTAAAATTAAGCTTTAGGAAATTCTTTTTAGTTAACTTTTAAAGTAGTGATTCATTCCCTGTTTGTACTTTTCAAGATTGTATTTGATAAAATGACAGGTTCTGATGCTCAATTATTTTAAATAATTTATATTTATATGGTATATTTTAGCTATTCACATGTAAGAAATATATTAATTGAAAAATGTGGAAAAAAAACAATGAATGTTGGGAAAAGTAGTTTATTTGTTGGAGTTTATAAAAAAAATTCAAATTAAATTTAAGGATAATCCCTATTATGATCAATTTATTATTTCTAAACAAATTAATCGATAAGTATTTTGGGTCAATACTCGGTCTAAATATAAAAATATTGATTTGATGAATTCACGTGAGATGGCAAATGGGTTGAATTGTTCACTGGCTTGTCGATTTGATTCATTCAACCAATAGGCGGCTCAAGCTCGTTTTAAGGCGAGTAATGTCTTGAGTCGAGCTCACTTTTCGGATTGTAAAGGTCACGAGTCGGCTCATTTTTTGGTTTATTTTGTTAATCTCGTGGACTCATGAGCTATTCGACTTGACCTACAAAACCCACGAGCCAGAAAATCAAGCGTTGCTTAGGCTTCCAAACCCATTGCTAACCTTAAATTTATGTTTCATTGGAATGTTTAGGGTTTATTTTTCGATGAAAAAAATGGGAGAAAAGAAATTCTAAATTTCGATGAGTTAATTATTTCAATAATCGATCAAGTTATACTATGATCACGACTTATTTACTAAACTTCGAAGTTCTTCATAGAATCACAATATTCACTGAACTTCTCCTATTCGCACTCCATCCATCACCCTAAAAAAACAATTACCTTATTTGCTAATTGGTTAACGAAAATTCCACATGGCAAGTTACGATCGTTAAAAAATTTACAATTTAGTCAAATCATTGTTTTATTACTTATCCAACTTACACCCGGTTACAATTTATTTATCGAACTTCAAAATGCTTGTTGGATCAATCATTTTTGAGATGTTGTACTAATCCATCATCCGCCATATTTCGTTCCCTTCTTTACTAATGTATCACACAGAAATCTCATGCAGTAAGTTACATTGTCGAGTTGTAATTTTTTTAACGATTGTAACTTGTCTCATTGAATTTTCGTGCGATACATTAGCAACGAAGGGACGAAATATGGTGGACAATGTAGTGCAATATTTCAAAGATGAGTGACCATTGAGAAACATTTTGAAATTTGATGGAAAAATACAACCAAGTGTAAGTTAAATGAATAATGAAATAATAGTTTGGCTGTGTTATTATTATTATTATTTGAAATAATAGATTTATTAGGTTGATGGATGGAGTGTGACAAAGTTCATCGATCATTTTTTAGTTTAGCCGGTAATCGTGGTTATAAGTCAATGAACTCAAACTTTAATTGATTCACTTCCATCTTTCCCAGTTGAATGGTCACTGAACTTTGCCCTATATTACTACTTAGTCACTGAACTTGGAAATATAACTCAATGGTCACTGAACTTCGTCAAGTGTTACTACTTCATAACCGAACTTTAAAATGTATCTCAATGGTCACCAAACTTTACACTGTGTTACCCATCCGTCACTCAAATAAAAAAATCTATTAAGTCCAACAAACGACGTCAACTTGAGTGACAGATGGATAACACGGTGCAAAGTTCGGTGACCATTGAGATACATTTTAAAGTTCGGTTATGAAGCAGTAACACTTGACAAAGTTCAGTGATCATTGAGTTACATTTTTAAGTTCAATGACTAAGTATTAACATAGTTGAAAAATCAAATCGACCTTAGTTACGTTGGCACTATTCGAACATTTTTGTACTTTTATTTTTTATTATTTGTCAATTTCTTTTAGTGTTCTAACTGTTTATCTTTCAATCTATTTATACGGAGTTTGAGATACGGTGAATTGATACTAGTTAATCTAAAAATCAAACGTATTTTTTCAGCATGATGAATGAATATTAGTAACAATTCTATTTTTATTTAATTTATGGGTCTCTGATTTTCTGTTTCCTCTTTTTTCCTTTCATTTTCTTTGATTTCTTCTTTCATAGAGGTCGATTTGAGAAGTTTAACCCTTGTTTAATCCCCATTTTGAGGGATAAAATGAATTTTTGAATAATATATTGATGGGAAATGTGTAGTTAAAAAATAAGGATACATTTTA